TTGTCTAAGTCAGTAATTCTTAAGTAGATAGGACAGAGAACCCTCTTAGAATTTTCAACTCTTATATCTGCACTGCTGCTTCATTCTCACAACAAAAATAATTTTAAAATCACTAATTATAGAGAGCCACCATTATAAGTAGGAGTATATATTCTCTCTCTGGTATRTCAGGATCGAAAACATACAGAAAACTAATGGAGGCTTAATGCTGCTGAGAGACTATGATGGCTCCAGAATTTTATTATGATTAAATGGTGAGCTTATGCAGCACAGAAATAGTCCAGTGTCTAGAAGTTATTCTCAGGAGTTGTTTTTTTTCTTCTCTGGATCTCTCTTAATTTTTCCATTTAACATTATAATTTTAAAAAGGAAAAACTGTACATGAAGTTCTTATGAAGACCTGATTTAAAAAAAAAAAAAGACCTGATTTTCTTCTTAGAATAAAAGGATAACTCTCCTATTGTTGCATGTTATAATCTAATAATATAGTTCAGTATTGTGGTTGTGTTTTAAAATTTTGAGGACCAAACATATACAATGAAAACAAACTTTATGTGGAAGTCATTTAAATATCTTTTATGGCTCTTAAATGTTCTCCCTTGTGATTATAGCTCTATGGTGGAGAGATACACCATATATCCCTACCTGGCTGACCACTACTTATACTTAAGGTCTCAGCTTAGAAATGACTTCTTCCCAAAGAACTCCAAATACGTGTAGACATGTGTTTTAGAGTACTCTTAACTTATCCATGCTATAATATTATYAGAGCATTTTTTCATTGTTCATTCATTCATCTTCAATTGCCCCTGACAAGGGAGGGAATGTATCTATCTACTTCATGTAGTCCAGCAGGGTGTCTGACATATGACAAGTGTTTTTATTCAATTATTTTTATTTTGTAATTGCCCTCCCTATAAATATTAAGGATGTCAAATAGAACTCTTTTACCAAAACCTTTTTGAAATGATGCATGGAAAGGAACAATGCAGTTTAGACAAGTAAATACAAAAAAAATGGTTATAGATTTACCATATTTATAACATTATTTAAGTATATTAAACATGTACTTAAAGCAGGGATATATATATTATTTTATTTAGTTCCTACACATTCCAGGCAGTTTCTATAACTCTAATTATTCTCTAGGGCACCGAACAATTTCTTACTAGTTGTAAGAAATTGTTTGGTGCCCTAGAGAATAATCATTTTCATTTACAAAGTTCGTTTTCTAATTAGATTTCTTATATTGAATAATTCAGTTTAATTTATTACATATTTACTGAGATGATGAGAGCAAAACAAGAGGAAAAAAAGACAAACTATCCAGTGTTGTCTACTTGTTAACATGAATAATTTTTCAGTTTTTATAAGGTGGGGGAGAAAAACAGTAGAGAATTGAGTTTAAATAATTGGGGTTCTTTATCATTAAATCATTTATTCAGGGGCATTTATATCAACTAGAAAAAGCATTTTGACAGCTGGTAGTCACACATAGCCTAAAATAGTCAATATATTTTAAAAAAACAAATCAATAATTTTTGAAGATATTTCAAACCATTAAATATAGCGGCAAGACTAYCATTCTGAATTATCATAAGGAGTCGATGTGGAAGAATCAGGAACCTTCTAAATGTAATTAATTCAGGTTTAGAATGCATCTTGTATTATAGAAAAATAAACCAATCATTTTATCATTTTATTATTAGCAATATATCTAYATTAGCAATATATCTAACATCTATAGGAGATGGGAAAGACTGATTATTTTTAATTGGGAGCATAATCTTAAATTTTCCTTCACTTAAAAATTACTTACTATACAGGAGATGGCTTTACAACTGTAAAATGATGCAGGAGAAAAACAAGTCAACCTACAACAAAGTATGATATAGCTACAAAAATGATTATATGCATAAAAATTCCTATACTAGTTACATATTTGACCAAGATTCACTGAATTCTACATCTCAGGCATATCACATCAAGTGTGCATGAAATAATAATATCATGACAGTGCTTCCAAAGGAAATATCCTAAGATTCTTTGTACAAGTCAGAACAATAAGAGATACAGTTGATTTACAGCTAACTGAAGAATTACTGTCAAGAAGCTTATGCTTTCTTTATCTTGGAAACATGTTAATTCTTTAAAAGATTAGATATATATACAGGGAAAGAGAGAGAGAAACAGAGAGACAGAAAGAATATATATACAAACAAAAATAAATGGCAACAATACTTTTTGAAATAAGAAAAATTTCTAAGCTCAAACATACATCTCTTTTTTGGATATAAGATTAGTATGTAAATTATTTTAGTTGTGATGAGTTCTGCAAGCATATTAAAAATAATCACTAGTTTATTTAATTAAAGGCACAATTCACTTCATTAGCATGAAAAAAAATTTTACACAATACCTATGCTGACAAAAAAAGTCTATTTAAATTAAAATTGTAATTTTATGTTATCATGATAAAATGATTTTAATTAGGAACTATACCATAACCAAGAAGAAAATACAACTTACAACTCTTTAATACAGGAAGTTGTAGGGAAGGTTTGGAATAAGTTACAACATAGGGGGAAAGGGATATAAATATTCTTTTATTTAGTTCCTACACATTCCAGGCAGTTTCTATAACTCTAATTATCATTCTGGCTAGGTAAGGTATATGGCACAAGTTTATTGGGAGGGACTCAGATTAGAGGTAAGTACAAGTGAATGTGCTAACCAGAGTCCTTGCATGTGCAAGCTTTCTGTAAGACCCTGGATAATTCACTTACCTCAACTAGGCCTTGAATTACAGGTGAGTAAAGGAAGGATGGTTTCTAGATCCTGTTTACTTGTAACATTAAGAAATTCTGAATGTTTGAAGTTGAAGCCATTTTTAATCTTCACATCCTATAGTTGTCACTAAARACTACAAAATGTACAAGAAAGCCTTAAAAATAAAATAAACAAATTAACCACTTATAGCATACAGGTAAGGCCAAATTATATACTAAAACCTGATAAATTCAGTGAGGCCAGGTTTTTTGTTGTTGTTGTTTGTGTGGTTTATTTTTTCCTTTCTATTAACTGATTATCACTCAAAAAGATGCCTCTCCCTAGAAACAATAAAATATAGGACCCTGTCCTACTCTGGCTATAAACTTATATAAAGAAGTTTAAACTGTCCAAGAAATTAAAACAGTTACAGTGACAGATTGGCTGCTTTTCCTGCTGTACAAATTTATTATCTTCCTAATTTTTTACACCTAATCAGTTGGCATTAACAATAAACTCTATAGTCCAGGTGAGTAGAAGACATTACCTCAAAACTGAAGCTCAGCAAGGTTCTAAATTAAGAGATTCAATTTAAAAATAAAGTGAATTACAAATAAAAAAAAATATGTTGATATAGAGGATAAGAATTCTAAATCATCCTATGGAAGGCAAACATTACAAGATAATACTTTTAATCCATATGGGCCATTTTATAGCAATCCTAAGTATTTTAAAGAAATTACCTAATTAATTTTCATGACATGTCTGTGAAAGTCAGGTATTAACTAATTTTTTTTCCAAAGAAGGTAAAAAAGCGCACGCGCGCGCACACACACACACACACACACACACACACAATTCCACAGGAATTATACCAAAGATACTCACTGCCAATGACATAGCTTTCTATTCCATATCTAGAGTAACTTGTGAAAAAAGGTGCTTAGCCCAGTGATACATGATATTAACTAAAATGTCTCATCTTTTTGAAAAATATTTGACTTCCTACAAGATGTAAGTACAGAAACAGTGTATTTCCTTGCTTAGCATTTATACTAATGACGTAGTTCAGTATCTGCTACACTGTAGGAACTCATATTTAGTCAATGAATAAAGACTATTAATAGTAGCTAACAGCTACTAGAACTCTTGTATCAGGTACTGTAGTAAGTGCATTACATATATTATTTCATTTAATGCCACAAACAGTTCAATGAAACAAAATATTATTATTACTTCTCATTTTACTGAAGGCCTGGTTAAGTAACTTGTTCAAGATTACATGATAGAGGAAGGATTTTAAAACAAAGGTAGCTCAACCTTAGATCAAGATTATAGAGAAAGAGCCTTACACTAGCYGTAAGAAACTCTATCTATAGTCTAGTCCCTTTAATTCCATTTCCTTAAAGAGAAAGGAAATTTTAAAAATGATCTTTTGACTCTTTAGAATGCCTGGCATAGTACTTTAGTTCACAATATTCTTCATCAAATGTTTCCTATTAAAATTAAAATCACATGAACAAATTAGGTTTCACTGTTCTCAACTATAAAATGGAGATAAGTGATCTGCACAGTCTACCTCAATGGTTCTAAGAGTGTGGTCCAGAGATCTGGAAATTTTATAGAAATGCAAATACCCAGGCTCCACTTCAGACTTTATGAATCAGAAACTGATGTTTTAACAAGTCTTCCAGTCATGCTATCATCTGAGAATCAGGGTCTATTTTTAGAATAATTATGAAGATCAAATTAGTTCAACAGTGTGAAAGAACCCTAAAAAATGAAACCTGTATCATCATCATCATTATTAAAATATTAAATTACACTCCTCGGAAAAAAACACAAGTAATTTTATTAGATCTAAACAGAAATGAATATGGGAAATRAAATAGATCATAAAATACTTTCCAAATAAAATACTATTCTTCTGGGTTTTATTTTGATAATGTAAGCATTCATGGATCCAGAGTAAAAGATGACTATGATCCATAAAATTATACTTAGAAATCTGATAATTTGGGGCTGGGGTTATGGCTCAGGGGTAGAACATTTGCCTAGCATGTGTGAGGGGCTGGGTTCGATCCTTAGCACCGCATAAAAATAAATAAATAAAATAAAGATATTGTGTCCAACTACAACTAAAAAATAAATATTTAAAAAAAAAACAACAAAAAAAGAAATATGATAATTTGATCATGCCAGAGGCCTGACATGCTGTACAAGCTCCTTACCTGACCAGTGTCCAGTGGAGACACCAGATCTGTCTGTGCATGTCTCACTTACAGGTCTAAACACAGTCTCCCATCCACCAGTAGCATAGCGCCAATTCTGAGATTCCAAGATGAGTGTCCGTTGGGTGCCATATGCAATCATGAAGCAGTAGACCACATGATGGAGTTGACAACCATAGCCACAGCCTTTGTTTATGTTACACACCAGTTTTTTGGCTTTGCTACAGTCCTTGGGATTCTGTCAAAGAGAAAAAGAAACGAAGATGAAGATAAATGTAGAGAGAAGTCAACTTTTCTTCACAAGTGATAAGTAGCAAAAATAATAATAAGCCAGGACTGATTCAGTGTTTCTTTTTTTAAAATATTTTGTTGTTGTTGTTGTTGTTGTAGTTGACACAATACCTTTATTTTATTTATATATATTGTGCTGAGGATCAAACCCAGGGCCTCACACACATAAAAGTCTTATCAACGTACTAATTTCCCAGCCACAATGTAATTTCCTTCACTTACCTGTCCAGAGTAACTACGACCAAAAACATTGTGAAAAAGGCTAAATTGACAAATGAAAAATTTASTCAAAATAAACAACATCTCTAGGCATCTCTTGCAAAATATAAATGCTCAATAATTATTATTTTGGACTGGTGGTGTAGCTTAGTGGTAGATTTCTTGCCTTGCATGCATGGGGTTCTGGATTCGATCMCCAACACTGCAAAACAAACAAGCACGCAAACCAAACAAAAACAAAAACCTATTTAAGGGATGGGGGATATACACAATCACAAAAATAAATTAGTAGTTGGCAAGCCAGACTATAGAATTGAGGTTTCTCACATTGTCCAGTATCCTTCTCTACTCCTCCATGATGTCTTCCATATAAAATGCAAGGAAGCATAGGCTTATAGAATATCTGGATACATACCTACGAATACTTTGTGCTGAGGATTAAGAATCAGAGCTCCAGAGGATCCTTCTAGCTCCTCTCTAAGAACTTTCCTTCTACCGGAAGGAGTTAAGACATAGAATGTATCAGGCCAGATAAGTTAAACTTTATTGTGCTCTGTGTGTGCTCTAAGCATAAGACTATAAGCAGTTTTGGTTTGTTTGTTTAAAAATATTTGCAGTATCCAGTTTTGTATTGGTAATGAAGAAAAGATTTGTAATAGTATGATGAAAGCATTTTGATATTTTGGAAATAATTCAGTTTTATTTTTCTAAAATTATTTTAAAAACTAAAGCAGAAAGTAAGAAAGTAAATTAAGAGAAGTGAAGCACTGCATTGTGATAATTAAAATGAAGATTCTGGGCATAGTTAATAACCATGAAAAAGAAAGTCAAAAGCCTTTTCATTTTTAAAAGCCAAGAATGGAAATTACTATACTGTTTTTAGCATATTAAATGAGAATATTTCTYTAGTAATAAGATGGTATGGAGGTATTTTTTACATTCCTGTAGCAAAGAACAATCTGTTGCAAGTAGTAAGGACAATATAATAGCTCAGGCCCAAGTAGACTACCAAGTGCTTCAAGAACCCAATTTCTCTATGGCTGTTCTGTAAAATTTAAGTGTGGAAACTTAATGGAGAAAAGATATCAAGACACATWGTTTATAGACTGTTGTACTGACACATGACAGCAAATGCAAATAGTTACTATATAGTAAAGAACAGGAAAGTTATCTTGATGAGTAAAGAAGCAACTGGCTGAATTTTACATCTTTGAAACTTTTGGTTATAATTTCCCTACACATCTGTGTCAAGCATTTTAAAACTACTTCTAAAAAATGGAAATTCTATTAATCCACAGAAAGCAACAAACAATTAAGGATTATTTATTCTACTAAGGATCTCTGAGATAGTTTTCTGACATCTCTGGGTATTTCAGGTGGTCTCTAGAAAATGTGTGATCCAGATTCAAGAGTCATATACAACAGAATAATGTTGGTAATATTTTTTGCCACCATAATGGCCACAAAAAATATTCAGAGAATGAAACAGACACATTTCATTCAAAGAAAACAGTGCAAACAAGATTCCCTTCAATGACGAGAGAAGAAAAAAGCTAGGTTTACATGAGGAGCAAGATTCTGCTAATCTTAAATAAAAATACACAGAAAATCTATTTCTTAAGCACCTCAAATTTTTTTCCAAAATGTGCAGCCTAATTCCTATGTCTTAGATCAGCTTAAGTAATCGAGTAAAAAACAGTATAATTAGAAAATTAAGATTGAATTTCAGAAAGGTTTTCCATCATCCTTTTAATTGACATGCTTCATTAGGATCTTTCCTCAAAGCCAAAATATAAGGAAATGTGACACATGTGGCAGTTACTCTTTTAAAACAAGGGCAGGGGGTTTTCAAGATGGTAGGATACAGGAGGTCATTTTACTGGCTGCTCTGTGGCATGAAACCAAGAAAACAGATCAGCAGTTTCTCAGCAGGGTGGATTAAAAATGGGGTGGGAGGGCAGGGAACTTTASTGGGGATTAATAATGGACATTCAAAGCAGATTGGGGACTCAGTAGGTTGGATATAATAAATAAAAAAGAAATTCCCAGTGCCACCACTGCTGCCACCACTCGTGGCACCAGCGATAGAGCAAAGTGGAGAGATATGGGAATTAAAAGAACTTGCATTTTTAGGCCTGTGACATGACTGGGTACAGAGAAATCAGAGATCAAAGATGTTGCCTGATGAATAAAGTCAAGCTATGCAATATCCTTGTGTAGGAAAGAAGCCACACCTCTCTTAGCTGCCCACAGAGGACAGAGGAAGGAATTATTTTGTAGCCATGGTGTGTGGGCCAGCAGCCGGTGGAGCAAATTCCTGGCAAATGGCAACTTGGCCTTTTATACAGGTCGGGAATAATTGAATTTGGAGACTGAACCTGAAAGTCCAGGAAATGTGGGATCCATAGGTGACGGAGGGGACTAACGATTAGCTCCTCAACCAGGCAAGTGGAACCCCCGGGAAATTCCTGGGGGGCAGTCTTCAAGCATGGATCGGGAACTGTTGGGCCCTTGCAGTGTGCTGATTTAATATCTTCAGATGAATCTCCCTTCAATGAAGAAGCTGGAACCTACCTAAGTCTCATCCTTGCTTCCAGAAGCTTCACCTACAGGATTTATTCTTAAACTTCAGGAACTCCACCCTGAGGGTGGAACAGATATCACACTCCAGCCTACCACACATAACACTACTGAAAAGGAAAACTGACAATCTTTTGAACTCCAATGGACACAATTCTTTAACTTTTCATGAAGACCCTTTTTAAATTTTAATTTATTTTTCATTTTTTTCTGTTTAATTGTGACCTGAATAGTTCATAGACACTTATACATATTCATACTTGTTGATTTTTTTCATTTGTAGCATATTTTGAAGGCAGTTATTTTTYATTGATCAGTATTTTGAGGACTAGGATGTTTAATATGTATGATATGTATGGAGATTCCTCAGAAAACTTGGAATGGAACCTCTGTTTGACCCAGCTATCCCACTCCTTGGGCTATATCTAAAGGACTTAAAATCAGCATACTACAGTGACGCAGCCACATCAATGTTTATAGCAGCTCAAATCACAATAGCTAAACTATGGAACCAACCTAGATGTCCTTCAACAGATGAATGTATAAAGAAACTGTGGTATATATGTACAATTGAATATAATTTAGACTTAAATAAGAATGTAATGATGGCATTTGCCAGTAAATGGATGAAACTGAAGAATATCATGCTAAGTGAAGTAAGCTAATCCCCCAAACCAAGGCTGAATTTTTTTTGGATATGCAGATGCTAATTTCACAATGGAAGGGGGCCAGTGAGGTAGAAGAGAGTTACTTTGAATTAGGTAGAGGGGAGTGAGTGGGGGTCGGAAGGATAGGAGAATGAATGATATTATTATCCTATGTACACAAATGACTACATGACCCGTGTGATTCTACATCATGTACAGCCAGAAGAGGAGAAATTATAATCCATTTATGTATGATGTGTAAAAATGCTTTCTATTGTCATGTATAACTAATTAGAACAAATTTTTAAAAATCAAAAAAAAATTTTTAATTTTTAATTTGGCAGGAGGGACTACCAGGGATTGAACTCAGGGGCACCTGACAACTAAGCCACATCCCCAGCCCTATTTTGTATTTTATTTAAAGACAGAGTCTCACTGAGTTGCTTAGCATCTCGCTTTTGCTGAGGCTGGCTAATCCTCCTGCTTCAGCCTCCTGAGCTGCTGGCATTATAGGTGTGCACCACTGTGCCCAGCTATTTTTTAGATTTTTTTCTCTCACTTATGTTTCCCTTGATTCTCTTTCTTTTTTTTCTGCTGATGCCCAATTTCTATTATTTTCTCCTTCAATATTTCTTTAATTGTTTACTTCTATTTTCTCTCCTCCTCTCTCATCATCACTTCTGCTCTCTCYCTGTTCACCATCTAGAATTGTACACTAAAACTTATTATTTTAACTGTGGACAATAATTAATCACATCATTTCTGTTTACTGGGACAATTAAGATTGTAGAGGGTCTCCTTCCACTATCCATGCAATTCCCCTTCTCCCTCCCTTTCCCTCCCACCTCTCTTCCCCATTTAGAGGTAATCTTCTTCCTATGCTTCTCCTCCCTACTCCATTTTGAGTCACTCCCTTTATATCAGAGAAGATATTCGACATTTGTTTTTTGGGGATTGCCTGACTTCACTTACATGTATGTAGATGTGAGAGGAAAAGAAAAAAAAAAAGAATAGCATTACCTTAGATTAGGTAGAGAGAAGTGATGCGAGGGGAGGGGAGGAGATGGGGGGATAGGAAAGATAGTAGAATGAAACAGACATTATTATTACTGTTTGTATATATGTGATTGTATGACCAATATGATTCTGCAACCTGTACACTCAGAAAAATGAGAAATTATATACCATCTGATTCAAGTGTATGATATATCAAAGTCATTGTACTGTCATGTATAACTAATTAAAACAAAYTTAAAAAAAAGAYTGTAGAGGTCACAGCCGGAACTATTTGTTTAATGCTGTACCTGTGTGATCGGTTGTTGTTATTATTTGTCTCCTCCTAAACAGTTAGATAATAGAAACTTTCAGAGACACTATAAGTCCACAGTGTAGAAACTCTATAGTCTCAGATCCATACTCTTAGATGGGAAGATACACAAACAACATAAAAAAAGCAAGAAAACAAATCACATTAAACAAACCAAGATACTTCAACAACCAT